AGCCTCTTCATAGAGGGTAAAGAAAATCATGTTGCATCAGCTGAGGAACTGTTTGTGGTCTCCAAAGCCCCAGCTCTCTGTTGTAAGGGCCTTGCTGATGTTGGCTGTGCCTTGTAGGGTGCCTGCTGCGTGGGGGCTGGCGGAGGAGCGGGGATACCTGACTGTGATGGACAAGGACAAGTCGACAGTCGGTTTTATGTTCCGAACACAGCTCTGAAGTGAGCTTTGATGGGATGCTCTGAGACAATATAAGATGTTTGGTGAGGTGAAGGAAGTGTTAGGTGATTGTTTGTGGCTATTAGCATCAGTTTATTCCTGAATTGCTGTTTTGTGTGGACGTTTTAAGTACCAGAAATGTAAGCATGAAGCCTGCATTTACATGAAACACCGGGGACACAATAGCTTCAAAACAAGTGCCTAACCTTTGGGTCAGGGTTGGAGAGCTTCAGAGTCCTGCTCTGCACTTCAGCACGTGTCCAGAAGGCAGAAAGCTTTTTAAAATAAAAGCAAGGCTCAGAGGACAGCCACAAAAGCACAAACTGAGCATAAATCCTGGTGTTAAATCTTTTTGATGCTTGTGGATGACTTTTGGAAGTGGAAGCGATGACTCTTAGCTCTGACACCAAACGATGGTGTAAATATTTCACAATTTGGTGCAGAAAATCAGGTCTATTCACACAGATTTAGTGTAAGCAGAAAATGGATGCCGTGGTGCATATGGTTTAACCTCGTGCATGCACAGGGTCCGCTACCTCCTCTTCGGCCAAGCAGTCTTTCCAGGGAAGCCTTGATCTGGGTGGTTTGTACGTCTGTCTTTGAGCCTTTCATCAAATGGTTAAGCTCATGGGTAGAACCGAGCCTTGCTCCTCACTCGCAGGCACAGCTTCTTGTCTTTGCTGTCTGTTCCCGGTTAGAGAGCTTTTCCATATGCAGGCTTCCCCCCACAGCCCCCCTGAAGATACTAATGCGCTATGACACCGTGATTGAGTAGCCTCTCAGTCGTCTTTTTGCTGAGCACAATGAGCTCTTTGTGGCTTTCACTGCATTTTTCTCCAGCCTTTAAGTCAATTTTGTGACTTCTCTGCAGTGGGTCAATTTTTCAACATCTCCTAAAACATTTGTTCACGGTGGAAATTGATGTGATATTCCAGCATCGGTCCCACCAGTGCCATATAAGAGCTACAATCGCAGGCTCCTGCTCACCGATCCCCTTTTTACACATCCAAAGATCAATTTAGTCCTCTTACAGCAGGGAAATTGGGCTGGGAGCTCTTCTTGCTCGATTCTTCTCCAACTTACAGCTTTCATGAGCATCCCGTTCCCACCTGTCTCAGTCCCACTTAGTTTTATTTAAATAAGGTTGGGTTTAGGGTCCCACCCAGCTGGATGAGCCAGCTGAATACATCTGACTTGTTCTGTCCTAATTATCTTCTCTGCTAGTCTCTTGTTTCTGCAGGCCTATGACCAGTGATTTACGTCAACGTTTTCCATTAAGAAGTTGGAAGAGGATCCCTGAAAACTAGACAAACCAAAGTGGGAAGTACTTGACCAGGATTAAATATTCCTCAATTAATCTGCCTACTCTTAGCCCGCTTAATATTGGCTGTCTGAATACTGTACAGCGAGGAAGTTGATGTATTTTGTCACCTGCTGTTGAAAATCTATTACCTTATCAATCAAATGCGTAATCCTGTTGGAGAATGAAATCAGGTTGGTGTGATACAGCCCTATTTTCTCCAAAATATCGTATTTATCCTTATCTCTTTGATATGCGATCAGTTCAGTCAGATATCATCTTCCCATTTTTGCTTGGGATTGATGTCAGGTGAATGCCCTATAATTACCCAGTCCTTTCACTCGCCCTTTTGATAACTGGTGCGTTATCAGCACTCTCTCTGAAACACCCAGGTATTCCAAGTGCTATTAAAAACGAGTGTCAGCAGGGCAGAGCCTTCTGGGCTTTCTTGAGGTGGTTAAATGTAAGTCACCTCCTGAATCTGAAAACCCGTACCCATTACGGAAAGCCTTCATGTTCTCTGTAGGTAGGGTGCAGTCTGGAAATGATGTCCTAATCCCTGTAGGAAAGGTCTTTCCGAACAGAAAACAGAAACGTGAGTCATTCCCAAACACTCCCGGCACATTTCCATCCCTCATTTTCCATGGAAAGCCTGCACGAGGCATTGATGCGTTCCCATACGTAAACAGAAAGGCTGGGGATAAACTGCAGAAGGTAGAACTGAACTCGGTGTCAACGAGTAATGGAACAGTGCGTTCATCGGCCATGAACGTAAATAACTTATTAAAAATTACTCTTAATGGAAACAGAATGGCTACGGGAATTCCAGCACGCCTTGAAATCCAGGCTTGCTTTGCAGAAGCTCGTTATTTCTACTTGCGTGGAGGGCCGGTGTTTCTGGTGGAGCATGATGCTCAGTGCACTCTTAGGGCTTAAAACATTTGATGCAGCAGCCTTCAGGCCTCAGCTCCCTGAGCCTTCCTCTGGTGCTGCCCACAAGCACAAGGACCTATTACAAATCGGGGTCCCTAAGTTCCCCAAATTGTAGAGGAATCAGTTCCCTTCTATCTGTAGGAGCTATTAGTTTTTATAAATCTACATGTTTTAGCCCCTCTTGTCATCACAATTCCTGCTTCTGTATTAATTACTTACAACTCCCCCTTTTTTTATTTGTGAGCGCTGCTCTCTGGACAGGTCGTGAAAGAGTTTGGTGTTGCTGCCAGGATGAATCTGGCTGTGTAAGATGGGGAATCTGAACTCCGAAGGAAGGGAGAACATTGGTTGATAGTAACAGATGATGAAATTAAAACCAGCAGGCAGCCTTTCAAACCTTTATTGCGGAGACCCCCACTAATGAAAAATTCAGAGGCAGATTTGGCTTGATGACAGCACTGGAGCTTCCTTCTCCGAGGCAGTAACTGGAGCCAAAACATTTAACTCTGCGTGTAGGGCCGGCACTGACTAAAACACAATTTATTTAAATGAAGAAAATTGGAATTTGTTTGCGTACATGAAACCCACTAGCTAAACAGGAATCGCTAAAAACTAAGGCAGTGATATCAAAAGATGGACACCAGCGCCTTCGCTTGGTGTAGTGGGAGTCCTGTCCTGAGGCAGCCCCCTCCCTGTTTTTGAGCTACCTTGAGATGGGAAAGGAGGCATTAAGGGGCGAGCTTAAGGGTGGCAGAGCAATTTAAGGCGCTTGTTTCAGTGCGACAACCTTGTGAAAATGTCCGAGTGGTGCAGTGCTGCTGTCGCTGTGGCCCGCCAGCACTTGGCTGCGTGTGCCATTTGTGGGTTCAGCCCCCGCGCTGAGTGTTGTCACCTTGCTCGGCTCGTGGGGCGGAGGCGAGACGGCTCCGGGAGAGCTTCCCCCTGTGCTAGAGAAAGCTGAGTAAGGCTTTGGGAGCGGGTCCAACTTGGAGAGAAATCCTTCACGAGAGGCAGGGTGGGTGGGTAAGTACTCGGAGCGGGCTGTGCGCGTTGTGGCGCTGCTCATCACCCGCAGCAGTGCTCAGGCTCCAGCTCCTGTCCCCGCTAATCCTGGCGGCTGCTGGAAGTGGTGGCTCCCACTCGCCTTGCTCCGTCTCAGCTGCACCCGGAGCAAGCTGAAGTGTAATGAACGCGCTAATTAGGTTGCTCCAACCACACGCTGCCAGGCTCAGCCTTAACACCTAGCCGCCGTTAATTAAAAGATGGCGTTGCTGAGGGTTTAGTGGTGCTTGCTGCTAGATGAAACGAGGGGGGAAAGGCAGATGGGTTGTAAGTCATCAGGTGTGGGTGGTTTCCAGAAAGCAGAGACCAGCCCTGGCCGGAGACGGCTCTCCTTCCCCCGAGAGCGTGTTGAACCAGCCAACAAAAAGGGTTTTTATCACTACCGGGCTGCAGAGCCAGCCCGGGCCCCGAATCTCTTCAAGCTTTTAAGGAGAAAAATCTCTGAGCAGATCTGGGCACACGATTCGTTTGGCAAGAGCTCCCAGCCAGCTTCCCTGAGGGGAACTAAAATAATTTCCACGTACAAGTAAAGCAAATACATGTAGCCTGTGTCTTGCTCAGCCTACCAAGCGGTATTGAGTAGTGCTGAGGAAGGTCCTTGCGTGGTGAGGGAAGGGTTGGCCGCTCGTCCCACCTGGGCTGGGCTACGTGAGTGTATAACACCGAATTGCGAGGCTTTTAGTAATCTGCACGGGCTGTTCAACCCGAGCCTAAACTAAAACGTTTAACAACTGCAGTCAAAGTCTTAAACATGTGCGCAGATGTGCTCTGTAAGGAGCCGGGACAATTTCCATGTGTGTGAGGTTATTTCTGTTAATGTGCATAGCAGATAGTGCCCGCTGAAGATCCAGATGAACTGTTCCCCAGCAGCGGTATTTTGAGGCTAGCTATATTTGGCTCATCTTTCTTCCACATCCAACTTTACAGTCGGCCGGATGACGCCCTAATGAAACATCAAAGAAGCCCGGAATGGTTGTACTTAACCACGCATTCAAAGCCATGTCCAGTGAATCGCTGAGCTCCTGCCCTGAGACTGAGCTGTTCTGACACAGGGCAAAAGCGGCTTTCATCTTTCAGACATCGCAGCTGCCGTGCACTGCAAATCCCAACTTCCACTAAAAAAAAAAAAAAAGCAAAAAGCTGTTTAGCAGCATTTTGAGATAAAGCTTCGAGTTAGTTTGCTAAATGATCTTGAGCCCTTCTGCTCTTTGCTTAATAGCAAGTTTGGGGAAATAGAGAGATGAAGAAGAAACGCTCTCGATGAATAAAATCCAAATTCACTTCTAAGGACGTTTCCGAAACGAGAGTGGGAGCACTTTGGAAACTGCTGAGCATTTAAACGTTAGCAATAAATTTTTTAGATTTGCAAGAGAAACTAGCTGGAATGAGAATAATTTCATCCCTGGCCGGGATGAAAGCAGCAGTAACCATTGATGCAAAGTTGTTTCTTGTTGACTCGTGACAAAAGTAACCCAATCTGGATGCTGAATCTAGATCTATAAATATATTTATTATAATATAACAAGAACTTAACAGTAAACATAAACTATATACAATACCATTACAGATAACCCTGTTTTTAATATTATTCACAGAAATAGCCAGTTTTGTTCCAGTGTGAGAAATGAAGAAATAAGCTAAATTGGAAATGTTGAATGTGTTTAGGTCTTGCTGACAGGTAGCACCTCCTTTGGAGGCAGACACACACCAACACTAAAATTAGTCCTGCCCCAGGCAGTTAGAAACTTGTGCTCCAATCGTTAGGTTCACACTTGCACCCTGTTTGACATAAATACTTTAAATGACATACTAGTATATAATTTTTGTTGTGCTTATTATTATTTTTTTTTAAAGAATAAATAAAACAACTGCATAACAAAGGCTGGAACCTCACTGTCAAAATGAGAGACTTGAGTCACCGGAGAGCTTGACTCAGCTGACTTGAGCACTTTTTTTTTCTTTAAATACTGCAAGATACAAATTTCATTTATTTTATTTTATTTTATAAACGATTATTAATAAAATAAGATGATTAGCTAACATCTGCATTGATTTCCCCAAAGCTGTAGGCAGACCTCCCTCAGTATAAAAAGGCGAATGTATTTGGTATGAAATTCAACCAGATATTGACTGTAGGATCTCACCCACACCCTGTAGAGGACCTCCTGCTTGAATTACCGGCATGGTGTTTGGAGTTTGGAGTCTGCAAAGGCAAGAATGGTAACTTTTTTCCCTCTACTTGGAAAGAAATCAGGCAATCCTTAGCTTGGGGTTACTTCCTATTCGTTAACTTTAAGAATCTTTCCCCTGCCCCCTCTGTGTTTCCCACTCCATCTCCCATTTGATCCTTCCACGTATAAATTTATAAAGAATTTCCACATCACAATGCTCTCTGGATAGACAATATTTTAATATATATAAAAATATAACCCCTGTGCTGTGCATATACTTACAACTCTACATAGTAATCATTTTATGTCTCTTATACTGGGCTTAAGTCTATGCATTTTTCTACCATGGGATTTAAACTTGTGTGTTTAAAATCTGTAAATAAGGTAAGATTTCCACACCTATGGGGAAACTTAAAAAAAAAAAAAAAAAAAAGCAAAAATAAAAAACCTTCTCAGACTTTACATAAAAGGAACCGATAGTGGCGTCTGTCCCAACGTAAGGAATTTTGGTTGAGAGCCAAAACAGAGTGCGTAGTCGCAGCCGGAGGCATCTGCTCCTCTGCTTGTTGAAAAGGTGGGAATCCCACACTACGCTGCCACCACCCTGATCCGCAGAACCGGGAGGATGCCTCTGGATTGGAAACGGTTTTCGTGTTCCAGGGATCGAGCACTGTCAGGTTTGCTCGTCAGCAGGAACCGTGAGGAAACGCTAGAAGCCCCCCTGCCAACAGATGCGTGCGTGCCCACACAAGTATCGCCGGGAGCAGAAATTCATCCAGCCCAACAGACCTTTTTTCCCCCTCATATTACATGGAATTGTGTTACCGATGGCTCCTCTTCTCCCCAGCCCCCGCCTCTTCCCCCCTTCTGGGCTCTGCTCTAGAGAACTGAAATATTCATTTGATCTGATGGAAGACTGACATCAATGTAAGCCATCTGTCACACAAGATTTCTCTCAGTCATTGGTATTGAAAAGCGTGTATTTGTTAAAAACAAATGTAGGAATCAAAGTGGTAAGGACACTTTGACCTTTCAAATAGATTGATGCCTAAAGTGTAATAGTAAAACTAATCTGCACGGTTATTTTAAGAATCAAGCTTGAGCTCTAGAAGTAAAATGCAGATTTTTTTTTTTTCCTCTCTTCCCCAGCTTAAAAAATATGTGAAATTCTATTGCACCTGGGTTGACCAAAAGCCGACGTCCAGAACAAGTGCCACTATAACATCTAGTGACACACTTGTATTATTGTTACAATATCTTACATAGCACGGAGCTCTCTGCTCCTCGTTCACCAAAAGGTGAGGATGATTTTTCTACATTCAATGTAGACACTATTCAAGACTTTAGAGCAATATGTTCACTGGCTGGCTGTCTTTGCTGCTTTTGTGATTAGTAGTAGTGTTCTCCTTGCCTGCTCTCAACAGGTACAAACAGTTCTCCGTCCAACTCCTCGGTTGTGTCAGCCGCTCTGAATGTACTTCTTGATTACTACGCAGCCATGTCGAAACACAGGGCACGGCATATTTGGTAGAAGTGTCCAGGTATTCGTTTTAGGGTCGTAGGCTTCCATGTTGCCCAGGGCAGGTCCTTCGCTGCTAACAATCCCACCGGTGGCGTAAATTTTTCCGTCGAGAACCACAGCGCTGTATTGTTTAATAAAGAAAGTTTTAGTTAGTGGACTTGCCAAACAATTCTCTTGTTATGCTTAAAAAAAAATCCCACGTATGTAATAATAAGGGATATGCTATGAATACATTTCTTATTTATATAAAGCTATGTGGGCAATTCTTTGCCTTCTCTCTCTCCCTCCCCCAAATTAATCTTTTTCATGGTCCTTCAAGGTAGGTAAATGTCTGTCATTTAAATAGCAGCAACAAACAGAACAAAAACATCTTAAATCTGTAGCAAAGATACAAGGACAGGGGTCCCATAACACCATTCGCACACACACCAAAGCTATCACAGCTGCCCCTTGGGGTCCCTGCCTCCTCAGGCAGCGTAAAATAAATCCTTGCTTCAATTACCCCTCTGATAAGCAAAGAATCCTACAAAAGGGTCAGGGGAAAACCCTCCCCAGGTACTCTTTTGCTCCTTCCCCAGCCGCTCTCAGGCGGGAGGTGCTGCTGCTTTGTCCTTCTTGCCTGAGGGTTTCCCCTTTGCTGGTTTGTTCCCCCTGCTGTGTTGGGAGGCGAGGGGCAGGAGGAGTGCTGCTGAGTGGGAGAAAGGGATGCAGGGGGACGCATGTCCGAGCAGTGCTTGGGGATGTGCACCTCTAATCCTATGTCCAAAGAAAACAAAAATCCTTACTGCATGCTTAAAATGAAAGTATTCAACCTCAGAAATCTCTTGCAAATTGAGGATAACGAGGCTGGGGCTAATCCAGGGGTCAGTAAGCTGTTGGTAGTAGGGAAGGGGCAGAGGTGTGAAAGGTATTTGGAAGAAAAATGCCGGTCAGCTTGATCTTCAGTGCCTTGTTCTGGTGCTGACTTCCCAAAGGGCAAGGGCAGGTCCCAAAAGGCCACCAAAATTAGGGCTGTGGAGAGGAAAGATCTTAGACTGAAAGGAGACGTGGGGAGAGCATCTCCTGCAAGCAGCTGACATTTAAAGACCCTGTAAAGCTGGATGGGGCTGGTGGTGGTTGGTGTCTGGAGGGGGGAAATCCTTTCTAGGAACAGAGTGGGGTTTGAAAGGAAAAGGGAGGAAGATGAGAAATTAATTGCCCCAAAGAAGGTGGCCTAGATCGAAGTAGATGTAGAAGGGTAGTAAGCCCTTAAGGCTTGGTTAAAGTAAATTTATGTCTTCTGGCTGATTTTGGAGCAGTGGGAAGAAGAGGAATGAGAAGTGACAAAGGCAAAAGACAGAGAGCCCTAGAAGACCCTGGATGAACTGGGACTCAAGTGGCACGGAAAAAAGCTGCGTTTCTGAAGAACACAAAGCTCTGATGTCCTTGCGAAGAAGCAGAGCCGTAGGTTAAAAATAAACCCACAATGACAACAGCTGAGGACTCAAATAAGCCTAGTCCCTGGATACCACCAGGAAATGGGAAATAATGAGAATCTTGTCAAAATAACTGTTAATCTGAAAGGAGGAGGAGGGCGAGAGAGACTTGAAGCACTTGATTAGAGCCTATCCACAAATCAGCAGGGCTGGATGATACATAGCCCAAGGTCTTAAGGGAGTTTGCTAATGAACTTACTGAACCACTGGTAATTATTTTTGAAACGTCAGGGAGAAATTGGGAAGAACGAGGACTTGAGGAAAACAAGTGTCATCCTGAAAGATGGCTCCGAAGGAGCACTGAAGCCGTCTCTGAAGGAGCCGGAGCTGGGGCCGGCGGGGCCCACACCAGGCCTCGCATCCTTCACAGGATGATCGGGATGAGCTGGCCCATAAATCAGGCACACATGTGTGTATCGGCATGGGTTTTGTCCCAGCAGTGCTACTGGTGCCCTGTGTGCTGTACAGGGAGGGCTGCGTGTGGTGGTGCAGCTGTCGGGAGTTGCCTCACTGAGGCCTGGTGTGGAGCAAGCGACCGGGCCGAACAGCCCCTTCAGCAGCAGGGGGTGTCCCTGCGGGATGATTATCAATTAAAAACTGCGCCAGAGAGGAGTGTTAATAACCTCTGGGCCCCTCTGAAGGGTCTCTCAAGTTTACACGGGCTAGAAATCAGCCTTGGCAATGAAGTGGAGTGCTGGTATTGAAATGGCTGCAGCGAGCTGTGTTGCAACCTAAATGAAAGCAGATGACTTGTTCAGGTTTAGGACTAAGATATTTATGGGGAGGAACCCAACGCTCTTGGAACAAGTTATTATTTAGAAGCAAGACAGGCTGGGATTTGTAGCCAGGATGCCATGGGGAGGATGCTCTGACCCCTGCTCAAATAGCCTGAGAGCTGCAGGCTGTGAACTTGGAAATGGGGCAGCAGGATAGTGTTTGCCGTTTGTACTTCGCTTTCTTTTTTTAACAGCGTGGCTGAAGGAGATGGCAGCTTATTTTAACCAGGGTATGGTTTGGGATGTGCTGGATGGAAGAGGTCCCATGGCAGAGATGGACTGCGGTGCAGCTTTGCTGCCTTGGCTCTCTGTAGAAATGCTGATCAGTCCTTACAGTGCTGCCCCTCAACAAAATGAGAGAAAAAAAAAAAGAATGGATGAATTTAGCAACTTTGCTGAGTTAAAGAGGAAAACCAAACACACACTGGAACAAAGAAAACAAAGAGCTGGCTGCAGAATTATTAATAAGGGGAAAATACAGGAAATGTCAACCTGGAGCCCGGGGCCATTTTCATCAGTGTTGATGAAAACTCATGCTCATGAACAGCCTGAGCTAATTTTAATCTACTGGTAGGGACGCTGGCAGAGGTGACAGCACCTGGACACCGCACAGAAGGAGACCTTTTTGGCCATGCCACTGACATATTGAGCCTGTCTCGTGCTTACTGCTCATTACCCCAGGAGGCTCAGGAGGGAGCACGGGACCTGGATGGAGGAAGGAGATGGACAGAAGGAGGACCGTGTCCAGGTGCCAATGCTGTGTGCCACCTAGCTGAGGTCTGGCCCTAGGTGCCCTGTACCTCCATAGGCGTCTACTGACAGGGCTTAAACAGGGACATGGGTGCTTTACAGGTGTTTATGTAGCATCTCAGCTGCTCCCATTTCTTTTTGTAAAGCCTCCTCTGGCGTGTTCAGCAGCAGCTGCTCTAAGCCAGAGCTGCTGCCACCTTACAGCAGCCAAGCACACCCTCCTGGTGTCCTCCTCAGCCTGCATCCTGGATTTGGGGTTGCAGTGGGTGGGCTACGACTGCTCTCGTTCTCCAGCACTTGGGCTATGGCACTGACAGAAATTCCTGACCAGCAGCTGAGAAAAGCAGCTCCACGTTGTAGCCTCTCAGAATGGTGCTAATGCATCGGGGAAGAAGCAGATGCTGAATTCCACCCTCTGAAAGAATGTATGAATTTTAAATGGTGATTAGAGTAGCTCCTGCCCTCTCCGAACACAACTGCCATAGATAAGATTGGCATAACACTTAGCTCGTGAGTCATGCCCGGGGTTAAGAAAAACAGTGAGCTCCTCCTGCTGTCAAGAAGCAGGCAGTTCTGAGAGTGCAGCGGGTACTTACGTGCGCAGGGGACGTGGAGATATTCAGGCATCTCCAGGGCTAAAGTGGGAGGTAGGTACTTAAGATCAATTAGGAATTTAGTCCTAGATTGCTGCTACTTTGCAATATTAGGACAATCACTGTTAATTTCTGGGACCTTAGGGAACAGGAAACTCAAGTGGGCTCGAAAACCCTAAGGAAAGCGAGTGGAAAGGCGAGCGCTCATTGCTCTCTCTTCATTACTGTGACAATATTTCTTTTCTCCCCTCCCTTCTATCCCATCGGCTGTAAAAACATCGTTACCGAGGCTGACGTACAAAGAAAGAAATAATTACAATAATTAGGATGCAAGTTTATTGCTCGGTGCCATTAATCCTGAGCGATAAAATGATTACAGGCTGTCAGAACCTGGGAAGGAGCGAAGCCTCGCGCTGCACAACCTCCCCGGGGAAGACGCAGCCCCCCGGCAGCTCGGGGACGGTGACCTGCCCAGCTCCACTGCACCCCGACCCGCACCACCCAGCAGCACGCCCTGGGTGAAGGTGACCGTCATCAAAACGGAGCTCGCTCTGTGCACTCCTTCCAGGAAAACGTTTCAGTGTTTTGCAGATGATTACCCTGCTTTCTGCTCCCCGGGGAGTGAGGTAGAGCCTTCACCTTTGGCCCTACAGGCAAGTCACCCGATTTACCGTGGGGTCTGTGATTGCCCAAACCATGAGCAGTGTCAGCGGGCCGCTCTGTGACTGTCCCCATGAGGTGGCCACCTCCAGGCCAGTCCTTCTGCTGACCTCCACCAAGCTGCACGTCATGCTCCGAAGAAAATCCTGGTGATGCCGAGGTGTGGAAAGGTCTGGTGGGTGCCTGGCTGTCGATGTTTTGGCATGCTTGTGTAAGCTGGACACCCTCTACATCACTTCTCCACGGACCCACCTTCCAGTCCTTCCCCAGGTTGAGCACACAGGTGGCAGAGATGATCCCCCTCTGCCGGCTGCCCATTAAACATCTTGATGGACGAAGCGAGTTGTTGACTTTGGGTTAATTTTTCATCAATTTATTTAACCACGTGAGACCAACAACCTTCCTGCCCGCTGAACTTCTCGGTGTCTCAGCAAGCCCTGCCCTAACAGTGCTCGAGCACGGAGCCTTGGCACACGGGAGCCAGCAGTTGGCTTGATGGCTACCTTCCCTTCAAGAGTGTTATGGGCCCTTTGCTTTTCACTCAACACCACCTTCTAGCAGAGGTCTCCTGGCGGACAGTAATCTGGAAGCAGCCCGAAGCAGAGGGTGTCAAACAGAGGACGTTTGAGAGGCAAGTGCCCGGGAGCTCCTGCTCCAGCACCTCTCTGCACGGCCGTGTCGGTGCCACGACAGCACCAAGCGGTGGGAGCACCAGCAAAGTTTGCTTATTATTATTCTTGTAAAATTTCCTGCTTAGTCCTAAAGATCACATCAGCCTTATCAGGAAACATGAGAAAAGAAAAGAAAAAGAAATCCTGTTTTGTAACATCTGGGGTTGTGAAAGAGAGCCGAAATGGCTGAATTAGC